GTCCAACACATCATCTGAGAGGGGTATAGGGAATCTATACTTGATCGTGATCTTGTTTGTAGCCCTGTTGTCCACAGTCATTTGACAGGTGCCATCTTTACTAGGGGTCAACAGAAGGACAGCACTAGGACTTAGACACTTACAAATCAACCTCTTAACCGATGGTTCAGAAATTTGTCTATGGAGCTCATCATGCTCATGGGAACTTATGCAGTAGTGGGTAGATTCAGCAAACTAGAACACAGAACTAAATCTATGCTGTGTTGGACATCTCTCATTGAAGGTAACCCATGTGATAATTTTTTCGGCATTAAATACTGGACTTCGTCTAAAAATGCCTTAACAACCTCATTCCACACCTCAACACCCATGATCCTTCACTAGTAAAGCAAGTATAACCCCCCTTTCACTACTTTCTGCCAGAAAACAATGCATGGACAGAACTACTTTCTTTTCGACCCTAACCCTCTCTTTATCTTCATCTTTCAAAGGATGTAGTTTCACATTCACACCATCCTTGGCAAATGAATACATACAGTTCCGATCATTATACAAAACGTTCGTACTGCCAAGGACATCCCAACAGTAAGTGACAGGCGCCCTTTGGTAATACGTCACACCATATAGAGTTGTTATACAGTTTACCAATAGAAAAAGAGCTAAGAACCAAGAATCAAGAGGAATTTCATTACCTTGTTTGAACCACTGTATCTTGTAGGGTTGGGATGTTTCTCTTTCTTTAAATTCAATTTGTTCACCATCTCATGGGAAACCATGTTCTCGCAGATCCTGCTATCAACAGTGATTGTGCATACCTTGCCTTGCGCCAAAAGATGTTAGTGCACAGCCATGGCTCATTAGCAATCTTGGGTGCAGCTAGCACTGGTTGAATCACTAACAGCTCGCCATCATTAAGGTATGTGTCCTCTTCATATTTCTTGATGCCAGTCTCACTCCCTTGATCAGTCTGCACTTTTTCCTCCTCCTTATCCACCACGGATTTCCAATAGAAGTGTACACCAACCTGGCGCTTAGATGATCATAATACCTATGTCCCAGCTTGCCACACTTGAAGCATGTTGCTGGTTTAGTGATAATTTGGGACTGTTGTGCTGTCTTAGACCTGCATTGGTATGTTTGGCCCTTAATCAACTACCTTCCTCACCCTGGGACAGATCAGAACTTTACCACACTTCCTCCTTGGACTTTGTAGTGGCTGGTTGCTTATTTGAAAAGTGATTGGGCCTATATCTGCACAATTTGGTCTCAGCTTTCAAAGTGAACCAATATGCCTGATCCAAAGTAAAAATCTAATGCCTAGACAGCTCATCTTGTATATCCACATACAGTCCACTGCTATATTGTGCAATCAACTGGTCAATCGGTCTCCCGAATATAATTCCAACTCGACAAATAATAGAAGGCTTCTGTATGATCTTGTTCTGAACCATCTTTCTATCATAAATGATTTGAGTTGTTGGTAAAGATCTTGCATATAATCTGTGGGCAGAATTTTCCCTTCAAATGCCTCCTCATATTCTCCTAACTGCAACTTCTTGTTCTCCTTATCTTGTGCAATCAATATGTATTTGTTGCCACCATAACAAAGCATGTCCTTCTAATTTATTACCGACACATCGTACCTTTTTATGCTTCTGCCATATTCTTGTACTTAAAAAACTGTTCTATACTTGCAAACCAGTCAAGGAAGTTATCTGGCTACAATCTCCTTGTGAAATCAAGAACATCAATCCTAATACTTCATTCAAAGCCTTCAAGCGCCTGAACCAACCGGTCTTCAAACGGTGAAGGGTTTCTTGCTTGTGATCGATATGGTCCCAGGCTATCCAAGTCTAAATCATCGCCGAATTCAGATGTGATCTGCATCCTAAACCCTCGGGACACATATCATCATCCGTACATTTACCCCCTTGTGTGCAACTCTAGGGTGATGTCTCTGATATGGTGCACCTAGGCAGCCAGTGTGTTGAATCATTGAAGAACAGCCTCCAAATCTGCTATTGTGAGTCTTAACTCCAACACCTCGATCCCGACTTCCTCTCACATGGCCTCTTCCTTACAAACCTTGTGCATCCATCCTCATGTTTCCAAAGAAACTGAATGTAACGGTGCGTGGAGAAAAATCGATATGCACTGATACCAATTGATGCAGCACAAAGCACAGATAAACAAGATCCAACAAAAAATAGGGTTGAAAACTCAATAGATTCATTAAATTGAAGCTAGAGATTTTCCAATGGAGAGAAGTCTCTCTACAATGATAAATCAGTCAAAAACTAACTCTAACTTCTTAACAGAGTTTTAAACAGCCAATCCCCTAAACCCTAATTATAATAAAGTACTAAACTACCAAACTACTCCTACTCATCAAAACAACCACTCCAAAGTGCCACGCCACCCATAAACATCAATTAAATTCCAAAAGCGCCATTCCAAGTCGTGTTGATGTCAGCATGACATCAACACGATTGCATCATGGGTCAACTCATTCGAATCAATTACCAGACTCTGCTACATAGTCATTTATATTGCTTGAGTCGAGTTAAACTCGCATATTGAATGCAGCCTTGCCATTAGGCTCACCCTACTTCTCAGGATACTTCTAAGTTAGCACTGCTCCACCACCTGAAGTCCCATCACTCTTTCCAAAATTAATGTAAAGTTGTTAACTGTGACAAGTAAACAATGAGCCCATATACCATGTAGTCTACTGCAGGTGACAAGTAATGATGTCCCTACATCTTTCCAAGACTCTCTGTGTCATCCACAAGCATGTCTTGGTTTTGAGCAAGTGTAAATGGTCCACAAGCATGTCTTGTTCGATAATTAAACTCACTCTTCTCACTCAAACTTGAGCATTGGGCAATATGCCACATCTCTAGGTTATGGCTTCAGTTCCTTTTTGCCTTTTGGAAAGCATTTTCAAAGCACCCCAGCAAAAGGCAGGTACAATGTTTGCTCAGCTAATCTCATCTCTCTTTGCATATTCCAACTTGAAATTACTGATTTTCTTTGCCTTTGTCCTCAAGAAAGGATATTACCACACTCCCACAAACTTGAGCCTCCATTTACAAAATGTCTGTATTTGTTTTATTTTATATTTCACGTATCAATATTTTGCTGCCGCTGATCCAATTCTAGTCCATCATAATTTTTCAACCTCTTTTGAACCAAGCTTCTCACGTAGACCATTACATAGCCTCTATTGTTTGAAAAAGTCTACTGTCATGTCAGTTTTTCCTTGCGCACGTGCACCCATTTCTTGCCTATCCTGGCATTTGAGGCTTGACCATCTGCAGTTTAATTCTCATGGAAATGCATAAGCAATTTTGTTTTTCTTTCCCTTGTTTTTTTTTTTTTGAGAAATAGTTGACTTTATGGTATAGAGTTTATAGTACAAAATCCCCAATCAGGCTACCCACAAACCAGGAGCTCTATACAAAACAGGGTACCAAGACCCAGTGGAATAATGTAAGTTTATATCAAGAGCAGCAGCCTCTAGTTATGGACTCCTTTCCAAAAATGAAAGAGGAGATGGGAGAGGGAGATAGAGGGTAGCGAGGAAGAGAGGAGATACAGGAAAAAGGAGGTGGAGGGGGGGTATGATCCCCCACCTTCCATTAGTTCAGTCAAGGAAAGGCAAAGTCAAGCTTTTTACACTCTTTCGTTTACATTTATTTCAAGTTGGTCAACTACATTTAGGGATTTTGTTTTACCATGTGATATCATATGTGCATGAATTGTCCTTTTTATTGCAGTCAATTATATGTATTCTGTCTTGCTCTGATTTTAGGCATCATGCATGTTCAGTAATGAGGATTGGACCCATGCAATATGAATCAAGCATTTCGATTTTCTTCAACAATTTGTATAAATGATACACCTGCAAGATGATTCTAATGAGAATGCTCTAAGGTTAGGTTCAGGGAAGTGGTATTTCCAATGAGCTAAATTATCAATGTTATCATAGATATCACATCACAGGCTTATGAATCATGATTCATGTCCCTGTACTCCAGAACAAAATGGACTTATTGAACATCAGCAATTCAATTAGTAAGACTACTTTAAACTCATCTCTATCAAAGCAGAACAAAATGGACTTATTGAGCATCAGCAATTCAATACTACTTTAAACTCATCTCTATCAAAGCATGTTGCCTTTATCTTCAGGAAGAAGTCATCATTTACTGATGCTTATTGATGTCCCCCATTGCCTCTTTAGACAGATCTCCACCAGTAAATCCCCATCGAGTAATCAACATACAATTCTTACCTCCATGTGTTCAGTTATAGATGTTGTTTTTCACTTGTCTCTACCCCACAACAATATGTAATGACAATTATTCAACATATACATTTCTGGATCATGCTTGCCTGAAAAACTATGTAAGGATAACCTTTTTGCTGCCTCCTGGAACCACATCACAAAAAATTATGTTTCTTGAAGATTCTCATGTTTTCCAACAGCACATGCATGATTTATAGGTAACTTATCAGATAATTCATTTTGAGTACTCCGTGATCCCTTTTGGTTTCCATATTGCAATGAGCCATCGTCGAGTTCATTATGAAGAGGAGAAAAAGAAGAAATATCAGATAACCTATTATACTTTATAGTTTAGAGGCATTGAGAACAGGTTGCTAATTGTCAATAAAAAACTATAAAAAAAAATCATGATAAGATTGACGAACATATGTTCTTCAAAAAATATTGAGAACAATTGAATTGCAGAACGCAGGTCAGATTCACACATCAGTAACCGAAAAAAGAAAAAGAAAACAACTCTTGAGAAAATGAAACAAATGAAATTTGTTACAGTTACTTTGGGAGAGAATGGGAAGGAACATAGAAATTACAACCATGGCAAACAAAGATATCATAGATAGCTATGAATTGTGCTATCCAGAAATAGTAGGATGCAGGAGTCCCCAAGATTCGTATACTTCATTGCGATTCAAGATTCATGTATACTTGCCTTGTTGTCATATCCAGATATCAGAAGCTCTCCTTCAACTGCTGCAAAGCATTTGATTTGAACATTCTCCTTCCTCTCCAATCGTCCAGCAAATCCAACACCCTGTATCCATCTCACTATAATTCCATCATAACTGCTAGATAAAATGATTTTCTGGTTGTCTTGGGGGAAAAATACAAGTGAAGTAACGCTCTTCATGTGCCCAGAAAATGACTTTGGAGCTTGATCTACGTCACTTGCTGAAAATAAATTGATTGTGCCACCCAGAGACACAGTCACAAGAAGATTATTCTGCCAAAGGCAACCAACTAGCATATTATCTACCCCTCCAGAACCAGTCGATGGCAGTGTTTTTTTCAACTTGCCACTTCCATTCTCTGCTATCTCCCAGACTTTTGCAGACTTGTCAGCAGAGACTGTCAATACCTGATGACAGCAAGATCCCAGAATTAGCTCATTGCAATGTTATATGGATTTCAAATGGTCAATGATGAGGGAAAATAAAAAAATCATCCAATGGGCTACAGTAATGCACAATCTATTGGAGTCATTCCCATCCAATGTTATGAGGAATGGTGGAGCGAGCGAGAGAGAGAGAGAGAGAGAGAGAGAGAGAGGCCCCATTAAGGTACTTTCTTTGTTCTCGTGATCCCCCTTCCTCTCCCCACACCCCCCTTCCCTTCTCTCTCTCGCCCCACAGTGATGGTCCCAGTGGACAATGAGTATGCATTCAACTGTAATCAGAGAATCACTTTCCTTCTTAAAATGAAAATTCAAATATGAAATAAGAATATGAATTCAATTAACAAGGGACAAAAGTCAAATATATGAACAGAGTAAGAGGAACCAAGAATATAAAGCAGATGTATCACTATTGTTTATTTTCTAGTCACCCTTACATCCAAAGAATCAAAAACAGTTATATCAATATGTTACAAATTAATGAAGATCCAGTGGAAGTTTATCAATGAAAACAAATAATGGAAACCTTAATGTCGCATACACGATACATGTACAGGGGAAAGATATAAATTGAGTATAACATCTCGATCCTGATGAAAATAGATGATCCTATTCAATGAAAATAGAGACCTCCGGGATAGGTCTTTTAAATTCTCTGACTTTAAAAGCATCCCGCTACAAAACAATCGAGACAGCCCAACAAAGTAATTAACTGAACAAAACAGAGCTTGGATAGAAAGGCCAACATGTGGAAGTTCAGTGTGACAATTAATGATGCTAGAGCTGAGTTAGATATATATCTTGACGAAATTATGAAATTATTAAGTTTTGTGAAAGATCCAACTTTTTCAAGAGCATGCATCCCATATTTACGTCATCCAGTGATTAGAAAACTGTGATCTTGCTCATAAGAAATGGTCTGAAATTAGAATTGGTTTACAAGATGTAAACTCGATGAATGACATAATAATCACCTGTTTACCATCAGGGCTCCAACTAACAGCATAAATGCTGCCGGTGTGACCACCAGCAGAAGAAAATTCATCCATCTTTTCACCTGTCTTTCCATCATAAATTACTCCCTTCTTATCTGAACTTACACTAATGAACTTGGTTCCATCTGGGGAAAACCTTATACAGTTCACAAAGTTCGAGTGCTCCCTGCATTTCCACATAGATCGTGAAAACATTCAGTGAGAGACGAAACTGCTTCGAAATTAAAAGATAAGAACGTGTACTATTTGTAAACAAAAACCACAAGGGAAGCCAATGTGTTGAAGTCAACCGCGCTCAAGAGCGAAAGATCAAGATAAACTGAGTAACAATCAAGTTATGTTGGATTTCACTTATATTAAGAGTCAAATGCATAAAATATTCAAAAATGCATAAATCAGTTAAATATATATTTGCAACTGGCTTAAATCTTTTATCCATGAAAACACATAAATTGTAGTCAAAAGAAAAGAATTGCAGCAATTGCCACAGGCACAACCATTAAACAATACATGATTCAGTATTATCCATTTCTGGGCACAGTGCCACAACCATTAAACAATACATGAGTACTTATGAATGGAATAATTGGAGACCCCTACCTTTTGGAGTATAGAGAACAATCCCTGATGTCCACTGTCCACTTCTTCCATTTCCAATAAAATAAGTATCAGAATATGTTGGGGTCTTAACACAGTGAAGACAGAGAAAAGAGAATAGAAAGAGAAAATTTCAGCCATAAAAGCACTCCAAATCAAGCATAACACTAGAAGCAAGCAAGAGAGAACCAATCAGCCATGCATGCCTATCCCAAGGGAAATAAATTTTTTCCCCCTTCAATTAAAGTTTGAAATTTTTTGCAAGTCCTCCCACATGAGGCTACATATCTCCTTTTATACATAAAGAAATAAATAAAATTAGAGATAAATCAAAAACCTACTGGAATTATGTCCTTTCAAGGTCTTAAATTCTGACGTTTTGGATAACTCTTAACTTCAGTGGGAGTAAAATAGCGACATGACTCTAGGATCGTGGTGCACTAGGACTAAGAATCATGGAACCCCGTGTGAGTTATGATGATGATTTATATGCATGGGAGGTACTGAGAGGGTTGAGGGTTACCTCTTAGTTAGGGATGGTTATTAAATTTGTGCCTTATGACTGAGTGATGGGTCAGGGCTATACGATTTATGTGTTTATGTGATTGTGATAGGAGCTCGATGATGAGATAGCCCAATATGGGAAGGTTATGACCAACATAGGGCATTGACCTAAATCCCCGACTCTAGAACTTTCTCGTATCATGTGCATATACAGTCGTAATGCATTGGTTTGACTTTGATAAGCTATGATCATGAGCCCCTGATTATACATTGTGGGTCATAAGTCTATTGGGTCATACCGCGAAAGTGGCTTTGGATTCCAGGTCTAGCTGAGTTGAGCGCTCAGATTCATAATTCAACTCCAAGGATCCTAATTTCCTTTCTTACAAGTGGTAATTATTCTAGCTCCAATTTCAAATGATTTCTCATAATTATGATAGTCATTATCTGTTTGTACTAATATTTTAACAAACTTGCCATCAATATCAAGGAAACTTTCTCAATATTGTAGTGGGAATTTTTTCGAAAGACTCTCGGTGCATTAAAGCATCTCTCTCAAAAGATGGTTCACATAAGAGAACAAATGTAGGTTCCAATGGCTCATTTATGTTTTACTATCTAACCATCCATGGATGAACTAACATCAGCTTAGGGGTTAAACTGGGGCATAAACAGATTCATTTATACTTCTAACTTCATTTTCAGTTGATGGAAACGTAGCTGTCCAAAACTCTGAGTACAATAGATGTAGGATAAATTGGTCAGTATCAACCACCATAAGATATGTACAGATCAGGGTTTGTGGAATGGATAAAGTTAATTGTTCTTAGGATTCTTTCCATATGAAAACAGAAAATTTTTATAAATTTATCAAAAGAATGAAAAAAAGAAAGAAAGAAGAAACACCCATAATAAGTTGAACTACCGCTTTTACTTATTTATCTGTTTGTAGGTAAGCTGGGAATACTCTTATGGTTACAGGAAAAACACCATAATAATAACAGCCATTTCATGCTTCAACCCATAGTTGCGGGAACCTTGGGGTTAAGGCCTCGGTCCAACCTTAGGAACTCAATCTCGCAGTTCCTCTAAGAGATTTTAGAGGTGGGTTTAGAGAAATAGGGATCTCACTCCCTAAAAAATGGGATCTGGATCTACGTGGTTGTAAGATCCTTCCAAGGAGAGGAGCTATACTATCAATTGAACTATTGCAGCTCTCCTTGGTATTATAGATTTATTTCTTTAGATTATATCAAACTGTGTTGTCTATCACATCATGGAATACTATAATTATGGTATTAAAAATACAATTTAATATCATAGTAAGCAAATTTATGATATTATTATATTGTATTAGTAGTAAATTGGAGTATTATAACTATGGCATTGGTAATAAGCTAAGGTATATGATAGTGTATCAAGCGGACATTGGCTTGATCACAATTTTTTTCATATACTATTAATTGATCTCATTTTATGTATAGTGGAGGCCGGATACTTCCAAGTCAAAACCTCGATCCTAGTGACAAGGAATCTCGCTCCTAGATATCCTAGGATCTAGATCCTTAACTTGTTGAATGTACAGACGTCGATCATAACCCCAGGGAGCTTCCAACTTATATGGTGGTTCAACATTCCCAGAACCAATCTAGCTCCCAAACCTGCTCCCGCCTTCAACAATTATGCTTCAATCATAGTTTTTTCTATGTTAGGTCAAAACTATAAGTCAGACTCTGCACAGTTCAAATATTCAAGAAGCTAACCTGTATCTGAAACTACTATCCCTACTTGAAAATAACATAATGAGTCAAACCTTTGGGAAAGCTTGAATCTAAAAGGGGGCCCTTCATAAAAGTTCACCAAGAAATCTTCCCCACATGTTACAATACGAAATGGCCGTGTTGGTTTAAATGAGCAACTTAAGACTCTTCTCGAATGGCCATCAAACTCACCAACATTAGAGCCCGAATCCCACCTGCAGCCATGGAAAGGTCTATTAGGATCAGAAAGCAAGACCATGAGAATGACTTTTCAAATTTGAAATTTCTTTCTCAAGCAAAACTATGTTGCATTACAAACAACTTTTGAAATTTATGAATATTGAATGATATATCACAAGTAAAACCACAATCCAACATGATGGAAGGATTTCAAAGTAATACACTTTTTTGTTGCGAAATTTGACAATCAATAGACTTGTCAAAATTTACATCAAGAGCAGAAGAAACACATAGATGTACCCCTATCTAATCACTGCAAAGGAAAGAACACAATAAACAAAAAAGTCAAGTCCGGGAAAAGTTAACAAATAGTGATAACCAACTTGTGAGGAAACCATAGATTATCATTCTTCAAAGCAATTTTTAGACATATCCATCTAGTTTACAATTGAACTTTTGCTGCATTTTTAAGTGAGGAGGAAAACTAATATTCAATCAAGCATTGAAATCTTTCCATGTAAAAAACTGTTGTATATGGGTGAAATTTGTTATGCAGTGGATACACCATATGCAATCAATTCCCATCAAATTATAACAAGTTCTCTTTTTTTTCTTTTTTGAAACTCTTCAAGTTATAATGAGTTACCGCATAAAATATGCCACTTTCAGTAAAGTTAAACTTCCAGTGCATTGATGTCAAAGGCAGATGGATCTATAAGCGTTGCAGTACACCCCATCAATAATCGTGCTGTAGGCTTCACTCTGCCAAGGTGAATGAAGTCTAGCATGTAGTCATGAGCACCATGTACCACAAACTTCCTGAATACAAACTAACCCTTCTGGCAAAATTAACATTTGAGAAATACTTCGACAAAAGAATCAATAATACCGGTCTACTTTCCATTAACATAACAATAAATTATAAAAACCAGTCCTTTTTCAGGAAATTAATTATTGAAAGAAAGGTTCCAGGACATTTGCAAACTACTAAATTGGAAGAAATTACTAAACACCTCTTGTCTTGAGAGGATTAAAAAACATGAAACTCTAATTTTGAAAGAAAATATTTTGCTGAATAATTCAAAAGGAACGAGACTTTGCCGAACAAGTACCTCTCAAACCTGCAGGAAATTTTGGAAGGTTTCCTGATGTAGAGATATTTGAGGGAACAGTAAAATCAACAAGAAACACAGCCAAACACAAGCACAATTCAGAGAAACCTAGGGTTTCTTCTCCACACCCCAAGCAAGGGTTCCAAAAGCCTAATCTTTTCTCTCTTCCAATTCTAAAAATCATGTGGAATGACCCCCTCAAGGCCCCACACACCTCATATATTATAATTTAATGTTCCAAGTACATAAAACATGCAAACAAATAATACATTGACCCATATATTCTAACTTAACCTAAAATTCAAAAAGACAATTTTACCCTTGTAAACAGTACCTGTGAACAATACTTGTGAATAATACTTATGAACTAAGTATAAAAATATAAAAACTCTAGAATTCCTAAAAACTAAAACCCCTAGAAATAGACTATAAAACCAGTGTTTCAAAAAGCGTTAGGTGGCACCTAGGCGGTCGGGGGGGTCCAGGCCACCCAGTGCCTAGGCGGGCGCCCAGAACCTAGGCGGCCCAGTAGATTTTTTTTTTTTTAGGTTTTCTCTCTCTCAAATAGCCTCTAATTTAGGTTTCAAATGAACCTAAAACCCACAATGTTTCCCTTTTAGTATTAAAAAAATAACCCAAAAATGCCCTCAAGGAGCCGCATTTCTGCCCCTGGGTAGGGTACAGGCCCTGAGCAGCTGCCAAGGCGGGTTCAAACGGGCGCCCAGGGATATCCATCTAGGTGGCCGCCCAGGTGCTGGGCGGTCCGCTTTTTGAAACATTGTTTAAAACTAAATCTATAATATACATCCATTGAAATTGAATAAAAATAAAAAATATGGATAAATTTTCCGTCCATCATTTCCTCACACCTAAGACTATCAACCACTTCAAGAACAAATAAGCATACACATTCTTTTTATACTACTTTATGTTTCAAGTTTCAAAGAGGACTACTGGGCTTCATTTGAATGTGCAGGTGGATCAATTCACAGAAATAGGGGATTGCACTTATATAATTGGTTCTATAAAGAGAAAATCTAGAGAACAAACTGGAAAGAGCATCCAGAGCTAGAAAGCATTTCAGGTTTTAAGTGATATCCTAACCGGCTTGATTTCACAGTAAAAATGATATGGAAGTATATAGTAACAGGAACCAAATGAGTTATTTGGGGTTTTCTATAATGCACACGTGCAAGAGAGCATGCTTAATGTTCTGTAGATTCCAAAAATTTCTTCTAAAGTTTTACATAATTTTTTTTTGGTTATTTCAAAATGGCACTGAAGCTAGATTATCAACCATACTTAACAATACACCAGTGGCCCAAGTGTCACTCTTTAGAATTTTTCACTAAATTTTGCAAAATTTAGAAGTTGAAATTTTTTTTATACTTCATGATGGGAAAAATTCATGCACAACATAAGGAAATGGTTCAATTTAAATATAAGTCCGATCCTCTTAGGAAAACATTTTGATTAGAATCACTTCACTTAAGTCCTATCCTCTTAGGAAAGGATTTCAATTAGAATCACTTCACTAATGTTGATGGATCCGAACCAATTTAAAAGATAGAAACCATGAAATGAAATTGTATAGAGATAATACCTTCAGTATATTTAGCAGTCAAGCCTCGTCATGCCTGCAGTTCATAGAGTCTGCATGGCAATAAATATTTTAAATCTTAATTAATTAGCATGTAAAGATGAGCCTACTTAGTTTCTTCGGAAAGAGGTTTTTGCAATATGCCACAAGATTAAATCTGTTTTAAGTTGTTTTTTGAATTACAACAACATTCGAATTTATTCAACTAAATAACCTTCATCCTAGGTGTACATATGAAGTGATGGCCCGTAAAAAGTTAAAAAAAACCACCAACACATACCCCAATTCCAGATGGAGCTCACACCTGCGTATGAGAATAAGCTAGCCACTGTAAAGCTTAAAGCTTGTACATTCACTAGATATAATAACCTCAAAGACTTTTGTCCGGATCTTATTATCATGTCATGCTCCTATTCCACATCAAAACTTTTAAATATGTGGCTTGGTCTACTCTTAAGGAGATTTGACTCAGGAGACAGTGTGAGTCTTAGACAATTCCTGATGTGTCTCAGAAATCACAAAAGAAACTGCAAAAGAAAAAATAAATGAATAAAATAAAGAAAGTGGGGAAGGTAGGGCTGCTCTGAAGAATCCTATCTATCATTTAGAGTCTTAATCGTGGCCAAGTGGAGTCAACAATGGTGACTGCCAGATCTACTAACGAGATATTAAACAATCCTTTGTATTGGTACCACCTTTCAGTCTTAGAAAATTCCATTTGAATCTAAGAAATCGGAAAACCAACCTATAAAAACTATGGAAAAACCTATCTATTGTTTAAAAACATAATTGTGTTCAAGTGAAGTCCACAAACATGAGTGCCAAATCCATTACCCAGATATTAAATAATTCTTTATTAAAAAATGCTCTTAATTAGTACCACGACAACTGAACCACTTCATCGAGAGAAAGCAGCTTCTTATTTGTCAATTTATTTTTTTTCTTTTGAAACATGATAATTTCTTTGAACTCGATGCATACTGCAGAGTTGGATCAAGCTCTCCTTATCTTACATATACTTTTGAAGTATCCAAATGGATATAGCACTAATTATGGAGTATCTGTACATAATAATCTATAACCTAGCAAACAAATGTAGGAAGAAAAACAGAACATGATGGCTGTTCAGACTTCATCATCACCTAATTGAACACCATGTTCTTTTACTCAGTAACTAAAGCTTTTCAGACTTCATCATCACCTAATTGAACACCATGTTTTTTTACTCAGTAACTAAAGCTTTTCAGACTTCATCATCACCTAATTGAACCCCATGTTTTTTTACTCAGTAACTAAAGCTTTATTATAAAGAAAATGTTTCCTAAACCAAAGAAAGAACAAAAAAAATACAAAGGTCAGGAGAGCAACCAGTAAGGAGATGATGATAATGTTGGGTGGTGGCCATTAAAAGCCTTATATTTTGTTTTGTCCATGCAGCACTCGTGTTATTTCTTAAAGGGTGCACACCCCAATTTTGGTGAGAATGCAGATTGGGAAGGACCAATAAGCTCCATGGATGAAAAAGGCCTTAGAGTGGCTCTATGGATGAAAAAGGCTACTAGAGAGCGTCGCATTAGTGTCGTGGACTCTCGCCTGGCGGTCTAGGTCTTGGCTTAATTGAGTTAAAAAACTCGAAAGTTGGGCATGAATTTACCTTAGGGCCTGTTGTACCAATAAAAAGGGTTTCAGGTCATCCCTTGTCGAGGTTGACAGAGAGCTCGGTAGGTTGGTAACATAAGGGAAACGCTTTGAGTTAGGTAGCCAAGAGGAACACATGCTCCTATATAACATTTGGAGGCCTATGAGGGCACGGGCCACAACCTTAACATACCAAACTTAGGGACTGCACATTGTGATTCTGGAGGGCAGATTTGGGATCTAGGGGTGTGTGTTTGTGTTTGTGTGTGTGTGTGTGTGTGTGCATGTGATAAGAGAGAGGGCCACACACTGGGATGGTAAGTAGCATGTCTTAACTCTCATGATTTGTTCTTGGAGGAGCACCCATAAACCAGAGGCAACTCTGTAATTCATCTACAACCTCGGAGGTCATTGATAGGCCAATCGCAAGCCCTCGCAAAGAGACAGATGGGTCATGGGTCTGTTGGATTGGTTTGAGGAGTAAAAAGTAATTGTAGGGTCAGCTAATGTGGTGTGCCCAGTTATAAGTTGGTGCATTATCCCTTGGCATGCCAATCTTTAAAATATTTTCCAATATTTTGAAGAACGTTTTTAGAAGAATAAATTGGTTTTTACTTTCTCAAAAGAGCATCCCTAAATGTGTGTTTTTGTGTTGTAAGATGGGTATTTTCTGAAATTTGTTTTT